GCGGCACACCTGAAGTAATATATGCATATGATGCATGTCACACATTCATTATTTCATTAACTCAACATTTAACTTATTACAGAATTTCATTTAATACATCATGTCATTATTTTTTTATAGTCTCATAATCATAGCTTGTCTCAATAGTCCATTCTTAGGTCTCATGTCATTTTTCCATATTTCACATGGTCATGTCATAAATACTCCTCACAAGGTCCGCACAGGAATTCACAGAGAACATTCTTTTTCATATTAAAACTTATTTATTTTTAGCATTAATTCCATATTCATTTATTACTTTCAAGGAACAAAGTAACAAGGAACAAAATAACAAGGAACAAGGTAACAAGGAACAAAGTAGAGCAAACAGAAAAACAGAACAACAGGCAAGGGATTGGGGGTCAATCCGACAATCAAACTATCCAACAATTATCATCACACTCCCGAGCGAGGTTTCTCACTCTCCCCCTTACCTGGATAAGCAGGAGCTAGAACTTGGGCAGGACTTCCTCCTCTGGATTCCCTCTTTCTTTTCCTCTCTTTCTTTCTCTTTCTCTCTCTTTCTCTCTCTTTCTCTCTCTCTCTCTTTCTCTTTCTCTTTCTCTCTCTAGGTTTTTCACTTCTCACTCAGTACAAATTTTTCACCCCTCTTGCCCCTATTTATAGGCATCCTGGCGCACCCGGAACGACCCGTACTGAATTCGGAACGGCCCGTTCCGGAGCCTTCAAACGTACACAAAATTTTCAACTGGAACGGCCCGTTCTAAAACCGGAACGACCCGTTTCCAAAAAGCAGAACAGCTCGTTCTAAAATTAGAACGGCCCGTTCTGAGGTCCATGTTTACACGTATTGACTATAAGGAGAACGACCCGTTTCTAACTTTACTTTTTAGGCATTTTTAAAATTTGGGAACGGCCCGTTTCCCTTTGGGAACGGCCCGTTCTGGAAAAATCCAAATAGGCCTCTTTTCTTCTTTGGAACGGCCCGTTCCACTTTTGGAACGGCCCGTTCTGGTCCTTCAAAAATAGCTTCCTTTCATTGTTTGGAACGGTCACTTCCACTTTTGGAACAACCCGTTCCAGCCTTAAATAAAATTTTATAAAAGAATTTCACAAATAATTTAAATTTATTAAAAATCTTTACAATATTTTATAAAAACCCCTTTTAATTAACTAAAACAACTATAATAAAATGATCTTCATAAATATAAAGATAAATAATAATTAATATTGCATTAGTAAAAATTTGGGGTGTTACAAGGATAACCATTTCTATAATCACAAATATTCTCTTGAAGTTACTTATGAAATATGTTTGGAAGTAATGACTTTTTCTTATTTTCAATCCTCAATTTTATTAAATTTCATTTCGACTTAGTCTCTGGACCCCTCCATAGATTTTTAGATTTTGTTACCAATAGTGAATTTAACTCTAGACAGAGGCACTTTCACCATGATTATGCTAAAGTAGTGTTCAATTTTTTTTCCTCATCATTAACTAAAACAACTATAATAAAATGATCTTCATAAATATAAAGATAAATAATAATTAATATTGCATTAGTAAAAATTTGGGATGTTACAAGGATAACCATTTCTATAATCACAAATATTCTCTTGAAGTTACTTATGAAATATGTTTGGAAGTAATGACTTTTTCTTATTTTCATTCCTTAATTTTATTAAATTTCATTTCGAATTAGTCTCTGCACCCCTCCATAGATTTTTAGATTTTGTTACCAATAGTGAATTTAACTCTAGACATATAGGCACTTTCACCATGATTATGCTAAAGTAGTGTTCAATTTTTTTCCCCATCATTATAACTCTTGAATATAAAAAAAAACTCTTTATATTTTTTCTAAATAATTATTTATAACTTTTTAATATCTTTTTTTTTTTATATAATTATTAAAAATAAAAAAATTCTTGATATATTTAATTATAAATAAAATAATCAATTATTTGAAATATAGTACAAGAAATTAAGAAATCGAACAAAAAGAAAAAGACCCTTTAGCAAATAAAGGGATTATAACAATCCTTAACATGGTTACATGTGATTTTTATATTTTTGTATTTTATTTTAAAAATATATTTTTTAATAATATATCTTACATAACTCGCTAAAAAATCATTTATAACCATTTTGGTTTTGAAAACTAATTTTAAATCATCTTTTACAAGATAAATCCAAATTATAAAATAATATGAGAACTAAACATATATAAACCTTAATTATTTTGTTTATATGAGCAAAACTTTAAATTAATCATATTATTTAAGAATAATTTAAGTGATAAAATGAATATAATGTTTTAATTTAGGTACTGTTTTCCTAATTTTGAAAATTATATATTCTCTAAAGACCAAAGAAATTGATATTATGTGCATATTCATTAACTTCTAGTATTCAATCTTCTCAAAGAGATTATTGGGTTTAGGGTTTAGAGATTATTTAAATAAATTATTAAAAATATAAAATATAAAATAAAATTATAATTACAACTGTACCGGTACCCTCCCAAATAATATGGGTATCGTAGAATTTATCAATGAAAAAAATCACAACTTAATCTATAAAGTTAATTCACTCCCTAAAAATCAGTGCATCATTGAAAATGAAACAGTTACGTTAATTCTAATGACTAGATGCACACCGCAATGACTAATAACTATGACATCCAAAATAGAGAAAGTGAATACAGAGACATATTGATGAAGGGATTGGGTTAAAAACATCTTTTCTAAAAATTAAAAAAAAAATTATGAATAAAATAAGAATAAACATGTTACCCCTTAAGTCTAATAGAGATTATAAACATGAATATTTATTATTTATTATAACTACTTATTAATTACCTTTTGATATTGAAACTGCTTTTAACATATGTGCTTGGCATGTCAAATTAATCAATAAACTCAATATATGTCATCAACATGGGATATATAACCTTATATATTGCATAACAATAAACATGCAATAATATTAGTTGAATACTTTACTAATACAACGGAAATCTAAATCCATATATATCACAAAGAACACAATTTTGAAAACTTATCACCAAACATTTTTTAATACAACTTTTAGATCTTTATTCTCTTATGTTATTATATCGTCTACAAGTTAAGCTAAAACTTAATGACAGCATTAGTTGACATACAGCAGTAGAAAAACTAACCTCATGAAGGTTGCAGATCAGTTCTTAATTGCTATAAAAGCTAAACAAAAGATTCCCAGAGTTGATAGGAAGTGTATGAAGTCTTATAAGATTCCGATCCGATGGTTTCTGAGTCATATTGTATGGAAAAAAAATTTAGAAAATAATTAGTTATAATATATGACTGTTTGTTAAGGAGGTGTTTGAGATATGTATGTTTTAATTTTTAAGGTGTTGATAGAGACAAATCTAGAATATTTTTAGTTGTGGGGCAACAATATTTACATATATAAATTAGTATATTAGTTTATATATGTATTATATGATAAATATTTTTTATATAATTAAATTTAAGTAATAAATAAATAGCTTTTAATATATAAATTATATCATAATTAAAATTAAAATTCATAACAAATAACTATATATAAATATTTTATTTATATTTTGAATGTAAAATGAAAATTTTAAATTGTGACATCAAATTATTTTTAACTACTCATAATTTCTTTTGAAAAAAAAAAGAGCTATTAAAATTGAATGTAAAAATTAAGATAAAACACATTAGAAAAATATTAGACAATTAAGAAGTTCAAATATACATGTAAAAATAAAAGAGAAATAATTTGAAATAGTTGAAAAAAAATTTAAAACCAAAAATGTATTTATGGGGACAATAATTATATTAGAAATTGAATTTTTTACTATATTTTTAAACTATAGACATAATTTATAATTATACATATATTATATTAAAAAAAAAAAAAAAAAAAACTAGGGGGACATTTGTTCCTACACTCTCTAACATGGCTTCGTCTCTGTCTGTGGAAACCACAATCTCATTTCCAAGATTGATACACAAAGCAGTTTAAAGACTTTACGAATTAGTTTATCCAATGTAATTTCGCTTAATAATTTCATTAGTCCATTCCAAAGTGGTTTTATTCTTGAAAAAGGTACTATTGATAACATTATTGTTTTAAAAAAAATATTCCTAGTATGTCAAAATCTATGAAGAAAAGGAGATGTTATTTTTATGTTTAATCTCAAAAAAGTTGATGACAAAATATTCCTACTACCGTGTTTTAGGATGCAAACTTTCTTCTTTTTTTTTTCTTTGCAATTTTATCTATTGTTAAAAAATACTAGTTAGTATGTCTTCAATGACAGTAACCAACCAACAAAAATGGGGATAAATCGATTTATGGCGTCGTGATATGATGGCTTAGAAATTGATTATTTTCATCATCATCAAAATTTTATATCCTAATTCTTGCCTTTGAATTCTCGGATCCCTGCTGCACTGTACAGTAAAAAACCAATTAAATAAACCCTAGCCGTACAAAGTTATATAATATGATGCACTTTATCATCCATAAGTCGCTTTCTTGTAATAAAAGTATGTAGTATTATGTACAATAAATGCAGAAAAGCAAATTCTATACTAATGTGGATAAATTAAGAGTATTTCTGATTGGGTGCCACCAAATTTTTATTTATCAATAAAAAAAATTACAAAATAATGACGATAAGACTCAAAGCAATATTTTTACCATCAGCTTTTCTTGTTGGGCTTGCGTAATTAACGGTTCTGATCCTCTTGGTTATCATTTATGACATTAGTTCTTGGGTTGCCAATTTAGCCAAGCAAAGTTCACTAAATGTTCATTATTCACCCTGATCTTCCTTGCGTAATACTTAACTAGCACAGTTCCATCACTAAACGCATCATGCAAAATCAATGATTCAATGTTTTTGGCCTTCTCCTTAAAGAAACCGAAAGCCAAATGCAATAATGGTAAAGATAAAAGGCACATACTAAAGTTGGTGTCAAAGGGCTTGTCTTATTAAATGCTTCATGCTCTTTTCCTTCATTTCTATTCAAATTTCAAATTGTCCCCACTTTCCCTTTAGTTTTAGTTCCAAATTTTCAAGTGAAAGAAACACAAGAAGAAAATGGTAAATGAAGCATAGCTGAAAGAATATGAGCACAGCCAGATTCATCAAGTGTGTCACAGTTGGTGATGGGGCTGTGGGAAAGACTTGCATGCTCATCTCTTACACCAGCAACACATTCCCCATGGTATGACTAACTAGGCATGATTGTGATGTTTTAGTGTTTTGAACATGCAAAATTTATCTGTTTTATCAACTAGAAACTCACTTGTTCTCCTTGTAAAAACAAGGATTATGTTCCCACAGTTTTTGACAATTTCAGTGCAAATGTTGTGGTTGATGGAAGCATAGTTAACCTAGGATTATGGGACACTGCTGGTAAGCATTCCATGTGATAAACATGTTGGTTGCTATAGTACATTCAAGGCAATTTTACTAAATGCATATCGGTGAAGATTATTAAAGTTGTATATCCAAAAAAGACAAAACTTAAATACAATATTATAAGTATTATTGATGTTGTTCTCCAATCACAGTTAGAGATATACTTAAGTGATGCGCACTAACAATTCTGATTGAAAAATATTACCAACAATACTTATGATACTACATATAAATTTTATCCATTTGTGAAATCTCATTTCTTAATCCTTCATGTAGCTAGAATATGTAATACTTTACTCATTTATTTTAGTCTCATGAATTCAGGACAGGAAGATTACAACAGGCTTAGGCCATTGAGTTATAGAGGAGCAGATGTGTTCTTATTGGCCTTTTCCCTCGTCAGCAAAGCTAGTTATGAAAATATATCTAAAAAGGTTCTTCTAATCACCAATCTCTCTCTCTTAAGGCACAAAGAATTTGTTGTGTAAAGTACAAATTTTACCCTACAGAATTTGACAATTGGCTAGTTTTATGTAGTGGATTTCTGAACTGAGACATTATGCTCCAATTGTGCCAATTGTTCTTGTGGGAACTAAACTTGGTATCTTCTAAAACTAGTTAATATTACTTAAAATTTTGGCATCACTAAATTAAGCTAGTTTATCAACATTGTCATTTTATATTGGTTCACTACAGATTTGAGGGAAGACAAGCAATATTTGATTGATCATCCTGGAGCCACACTTATAACTACTTCTCAGGCAAGTCATTTGTATTTGACACATTTTCTAGTTGAAGCCATGGAGGGATAATATATTTTTGGTTGGACAGGGAGAAGAGCTGAAGAAGACAATTGGTGCTGCTATGTACATAGAGTGTAGCTCAAAGACTCAGCAGGTTCATATTGTTTTTAGTGATCCATGTAGCCAAACTATAATATATGCAAAATATATGTTATAAAAGAATATATGCAAAATTATCGGTCAAATTAAGGTAGGAACTCAAGATTACTTTATAGTTATATACATTGCTATAAAATATAATGAACATATTAATTGTATATTTAAAATTAGAAGCATAAATTCGCAAAGACATTAGACTTTAATACCTTGTGAATTTAACTTTTAATTATTCAGATAGGTGTAATACAATAATTTTCTTTGTTTTTAATCTTTTATCAATCAATGATTTCATAAATTTTTGCTCTAATATTTCAGAATGTAAAGGCAGTGTTTGATGCTGCGATCAAGGTTGTTTTGCAGCCACCTAAGCTCAAGAAGAAAGGAAAGAAGAAGAACACGCCTTGTTTTTTGCTCTAATTCAAGTTGTTGATGTTAAATTCTCATATTGTAACATTCAGATCCTTCTTCCTAGGATTTTCTTTTTCTTATATTTTGTTTCATGAATCCTTTAGAACATAAGTACTGCAAAGTGAAACTCTATACTATATTGTTCTCCAATGTCTACTTGATGAGAGTAGACTCAATTCAATATTATAAAATGAACATTATAATTAGTTACCACTTTGATGTTAGGCTGTTAGTTCCACGTCTCCCTCATTAAGTTCTGTTTGGATTCTCTATAAGACTTGGAATATTAATCATATACATCACATCACAATGTTTAAATTGTTGAGTTCTTCTGCTTTTCAGTGAACCCACCTAAATCACAATGATAAGTTCTCAATGTCATAAATGCTGACCTAATCTACTAGCCTGTTATTGGTACTTATGAGTGATTAAATACAGCTGCAAAACAAGTCATGGTAGATTTTGGATTCGGATATATTTATAGTAAACCACGCTGAATTGTTCTGTTATTATTGTTTTGATTTATTTGAGATAAAAAATTATAAAACAATCGTGTGATGCAAGGATTTGAGTAATTATTTAATATAAAATGATGATAGGTTGGTTAGTCACAAGTTTAATTCATAATTCACATAATTAAATCCTACAAACTAATTTGTAAAGTAAATTATATATATTTTATTAACTTTATAACTGGTTGTGAGATCTCTAATACAACGTAATCCTAGATAATTGTGACATAAATCAAAACCACTAGAGAAACCAAACATTTTGTCTCTTAGTCCAATGGTGTTGCAGGAATTTTCTGTTCCTTTTTGGAGCTAGGGTGTAAAGTTTACATTTCGGTGGTGCCTAACAAATACCAAAAGGAGTTGGAGTGTGAAGGTTTGTATTAAATTATAATACATATTAATAGACAAAAGTTCTTGTTTAAAGCGCCTGTAGCTCAGTGGATAGAGCGTCTGTTTCCTAAGCAGAAAGTCGTAGGTTCGACCCCTACCTGGCGCGTCTTTAATATTATAATATTTTTTATTAAAATTAGTTTTTATGAATTTTTTTTAGTTTAAATATATGTTTCATCCCCCCAAATTTAGGGCAATTCTGTTTTTGTCCCTCAAATTTAAAATTATTATTTTTAGTCCTGTAATTTCAAAAAATCTTATTTTAGTCTTTATATTCAAATTTTGTTAAGAAATTTATCAAACATTATTGTATAAAATCTACCTATTAATATCCCTATCAGTGAAAATATCACATTAAATCTGGTTGATGTTGCATAACTGTATTAATTATTCACTTTCAAATATATTATTGGTGACCTAAGGAACTAAAATAAGATTTTTGAAAATTACAGGAACTAAAAATAACAGTTTTAAACTACTTATTAGTATTCTTATCAGTGAAAATATCACATTAAATTCGGTTAATGTTGCATAATTGTATTAATTAGTTACTTTCAAATATGTTATTAGTGACCTAAGGGATTAAAATAAAACTTTTGGAAATTAAAAAGACTAAAAATAATAATTTTAAATTTAAGGGACAAAAATAAATTTATCTTAAATTTAAAGGATTAAAAACATATTTAAGCCTCGTTTTCTTATTAAAATTAGTTTCGGCTAAGATGGAAACAATGAAGTAAAATAGCGTATGTCTACTGTTTTATATAAAATAGCGCTTGTAGCTCAGTGGATAGAGCGTCTGTTTCCTAAGCAGAAGGTCGTAGGTTCGACCCCTACCTGGCGCGATTTTGTATTTTGCTGGACAAATTGAAAGAATGCCAAATCATTTATATCATTTTATATAATTATTTATACTTTCTATACAGATAAACTGAAAACATTCTCTCATATATCATCAATTTTATTTTTTCATAATTACATTTTTAAGTCATCAATATTATCGATATCATCTAAGTTTCGAATGTGGAAATTGTTTAAATATTATAATTATATAATTTTAACTATTCTTTAAGTTTTTAATAAATATTTAATAAATTTTGTTAATGGTTATGAAAAGAAAAATAATAATAGATAAATAAGAAAATATGAGAGAGAAAGGGAATTTGACTTATATATTATTTTTTTTGGAGATAACTAATCTATTTATAAGTATATATAGTAGTCAAACAATTACACAAAAAAGAAAATAATACATAATGAAAATATAATTATTTAATCTTCTCCCAAAAATAATACACTAGTCATATTTTTTTTTCCATCCCATATTATCTTTCTTTTATTTAAAAAAATATAAGTGAAACTTCTTCATTATAATGTATAATAACAAAATGATAAAATAATTTTAAAAAAATTATTTAATAAAAATATATTTATGTCATTGTTAGATCAACTTTAAAGAAAAAAATAAATAAAGTTGAAAATTAGGAAAATTATTCTCTTATATAAATGTTGTATAAAAAAATAAAGAAAATAAAAGTTGATCATATTTTTATTAAAATATCTTATTCCTATTCAAACTTTAATCAAATTATAATTGAATGATTTAAATAATAAACACATAACATTATGAAAATAAATAATATCAATTCTATCGATAGAATTTGCAACAAAATTCTTTAAATTCAATAACGTAAATTATATGATAAGTTAATTACTTCAATTAATTCAATCATAAATAATATTAAATTACTAATGTAAAGATACTTATAATATTTTCAAGAAATCACATAAAAATCTAAATAAGTTTGAGGACAAACTTCACTACTCATAATTTTTATGTCTTAAATATCATACAACATTATAAATACAACATATGTAAAATTATTATACTTTCGACAATGTCCTTATTTATATCAAAGGATTAAACATAATGTAATATATTTGTATCAAATTTTACACCTTTTGTAAAAATTATTTTATTTATCGCTTTTCATATTATTTTATCATTTTTAGTGAGAAAATTAATTCTTTCATTTTTTATTTTTTTGCACTATTTTCCCACTTTTGGTGAGAAAGAAATTTTTTTAAAATTTTTTTATTTGAGAATGTCTTCTATATCATTACAAAAATATTCTTATAATTTATTTTCTTAATTTTGTCTTAAAAAACCAAATGTACTTATATAAATTTCACAATCAAATAAAAAATATAAATATTCTATTAAATACATAATGTGAAAAATAACTATATGATTACATAACATTTATATAAAATAGTATAAATAATGAAAGAATAAATATATGTAATATGCAAAATATATTATGTCAATAAAACATTGATATTTTTTAATTTTTGTGAGAGGAAGAAAAAAGGTAATAAAATAAATAAGATTAAATATTCTCATTTGATAGTATTTTTTATACATATTTCAAGGATGTAAGTATAACTTTTTCATTTAATAGTGTCTTCGAGACTAATATAATATATTCAGAACTACTTTAATTCATAATAATATAAACAATAAAAAAATTAGTTAAAATACATATTATGAAAGATGAATTGATAACCTTAACATATCTCTTGAAAAATATGACTTTCTTTATATATATAAAAAAAAAAAAGTCTTCACAACTTTATCTTAAAAGAAAAAGAAAAAAACCTCAAGCGTGTGGTTCAATGGTAAGGGTTGATTCACGCTTAAGCAAGGTCAGGGGTTCGAATCCTGCCTTGTGTATGCAGCCGCGTTAAATCTTGGGGCCAGCTATCCCACCCTTTGAGGTGCCTCCCTCGTAGCGAGTCACCACTGTCTGGAGTGGATACTCCAGGGACGAACCAATAAAAAGAAAAAGACAATATGAGATAATTATATATATTATCATTTATATTTTTGTGTAATTAATGAGTTATTATATTTAGTTATATTAATTTGGTGTTTGCTAAAACCCTCTCTATGGTTGAAATGGGAAGAAGCTAAACCCACGGTGCTGCTGAATAAAACATGGTGGCGCCTCTTCTCCTTCGTTCCCTCTGGTCCTCCACCAGAAAGTCCCCCCCTCCCTTCGCCCCCTCGCGCTTCCTCTCGCGCGCCTTCGCAGCCGCTCCCGTCGCCGCCGCATCCGCCGCATCTCCCGCCGCCTCCCTCGACCCCAGCCGCCTCCGCAACGTCGCCGTCATCGCCCATGTCGACCACGGCAAGACCACCCTCATGGACCGCCTCCTCCGCCAGTGCGGCGCCGACATCCCCCACGAGCGCGCCATGGACTCCATCTCGCTCGAGCGCGAGCGCGGCATCACCATCGCGTCCAAGGTTTCTGCCCTATTTTCGCTTTTCGCCTCGGCTTCGTTTTCGGCCGAATCGGATCGTCGCGAATGTGAGGACGCTAACGAGTGCTTCGTTTTTCAGGTCACGTCGATTGCGTGGAAGGAGAATGAGCTGAACATGGTTGATACTCCCGGACACGCTGATTTTGGTGGCGAGGTAAATCTGATTACGTCGTCTCACGTGTTTGAGTGCAGAAGTGGAAAGTGTTTTCTCATTTGAAAAATTGTTATATAGAATAGGTGGTGATTTGAACGAAGTTAGGGCATGTTTGGCTCCATAAGCTAAAATTAACTTCTATAGGCTAAAATTAGGTTATGTTATGCATAAACTAATTAATAGAAGTTACTTTTAACTTGAGCATAAGTTACTTTTAGCTTGTGGGATACTTATTATTTTTTTTCCCTATATGTGCTTCTGGAGAAGTTTATCACATCCAAAAACTTATTTCAATTTTTCTTTTTATATTTTCTCCTAGTTTGTCATGCCTTAGTTTTAGTTTTTATTTTTTGTGTGTGTGAATTTTGAAGTAATTGATCTATTAATATTATTAGTTCGTAGAAACTATGTAGTGGTTGTAGACTTGTAGTGCTTTGTGGCTGCTGTTCTCATTTGTGTTTGGTTGATGAGTAGGTTGAACGTGTTGTTGGGATGGTTGAGGGAGCGATTTTGGTTGTTGATGCTGGTGAAGGACCACTTGCACAAACCAAATTTGTTCTTGCAAAGGCCTTGAAGTTTGGGTTGCGCCCTATTCTTCTTTTAAACAAAGTAGACCGACCTTCAGGTAGTCATACGTGATTCTCTGCCATTACATGAAATAAAACTGACTTAATTGTATTTTTACTGCTCTTACTATAGCCATTTTTCAAATTTAGTCCTACTTTTTTCACGAATCTGACTCCCCATGCGCTAGTGTTATTGTGCAATTTTGGTTCATCTATTACTTGACATCCAATATTTAATGAAAATGTTGGCATCACAGTGGAGTGCTA